TGGATGGATCCCCCCTCCCATCCACTCTCTTCCCCTGTCGGACGGTAACTGACTTCTCCTGCCGCTCCCTCCTCAGGATCCTTAGCCCCCTTTCCCGCCCAAACCAGAGGAGTCTGGGTAGCTATATTTAACCCCTTCAGCCCCTTTTCCAAGTCCACTGTATCAACGGACTGGTGTAGCATCCAGGGTGGGAACAGCTTGGGGGCTGTCTGAGTGCCCACGGAGGCTTTTGGGCGAGACGGCACTCCCAGCATCACCTCACGACCCGGATCATGGGTGTCACACAAGGTCACTACTCTGGGCGACATACAAGTGACGTAATATAAGCATGCAAAACCAGTAAACAATTGACAGAAGACGACATACAGAAAACGTCATCTCTAAAATTAGGATAATTAATGCTAAAAAAAGCAACTCTAAAGAAAAAAATATTAAATACTGAATATGGTCATCATGGGTGGCAGACAACAGCAAATTCACAAGCACATGAGGGGGGAAAAAAGAAAACCCATTTCTTGAGACAAAATTTGACTTTTTAAAAATCATGGTAAGGCCATGAAAGGCATGTGAAAACAGCCAGGTTTTAATCGATTTCATCGTGATAAATGTTTTCATTTTATTTTCAGTATTTCTCAACCCAAGTTAAGTCTAAGTTACTTTAAAACTTATTTAAAGAAAGAAATAACATTTGGATGGAAAATTTAGGGCAGGCGGCCCCATCGTTCATCTTTTCCTGGGCCTAATGCCAGCTTCCCAGCCAGCTTCAGAGCTCTCAAGTTTAACTTAGGGTGAGCAACACTAAATAAATGAACATTTATCAGGATGACATCGTTGTTCTGTTAAAAATAACATGGTTCACAAACACCAGCACTTACTGATTCTTCCAGCTGGATTCAATCTCAATACTGTATACTGAAAGTCTAGAGAAAATTCTTGTTGCTAAAAAGCAACTCTAAAGAAAAAAAATATTAAATACTGAATACGGTCATCATGGGTGGCAGATAACAGCAAATGCGCAAGCACATGAGAAAAAAACCCTCGTTACTTGAGACAAAATTGGTCTTTTTAAAAATCACGGTAAGGCCATGAAAGGCTTGTGAAAACAGCCAAGTTTTAATCTATTTCATTGTGATAAATGTTTTCATTTTATTTTCAGTATTTCTCAACCCAAGTTAAGTCTAAGTTACTTTAAAACTTATTTAAAGAAAGAAATAACATTTGGATGGAAAATTTAGGGCAGGCGGCCCCATCGTTCATCTTTTCCTGGGCCTAATGCCAGCTTCCCAGCCAGCTTCAGAGCTCTCAAGTTTAACTTAGGGTGAGCAACACTAAATAAATGAACATTTATCAGGATGACATCGTTGTTCTGTTAAAAATAACATGGTTCACAAACACCAGCACTTACTGATTCTTCCAGCTGGATTCAATCTCAATACTGTATACTGAAAGTCTAGAGAAAATTCTTGTTCTATCAGATAATGTTCTTATGTATGTGGAGTAAAAAATGAATGAAGTAAATCTACAAGTACCTTATTCCTCTGTATATTCTTGATTTTTTCTTACCCTATGTGTAAGGCTAGTCAATATAAATATATAGTCCAGTTCCAAAAGTTAGCTTCAAAACGAGAACATCTGATCATGTGAAATGGGAAAAACCCACTGATGTACTTACATAGCAAGAAGACTGGAAGACAGACTCCTGTTGAGCATGTACAGAGTGCCTTTCCTTAGTTAAGATGCATATTTATTTGTTTGTTTGTTTGTTTGTTTGTCTTATTTATAGGTTGTCTTTCTCCTATAAGGGAACTTGCCACACTCGTGCCAATGGCTTCAGATTTTTAAAAATATTTCGTGACTCTTAATTTATTTAATCTATATCTGATATTCACTATAGGAAGACTGTCTCCCTTGAAATCATCCAGTTGCTTTTACAGTCCAGATTGGTGTTCTTGTCCCGAAAGATCTGACATTGTGTAAAAGAAATTGGACCCTATCAGTGGACCCTCCTTCTAGCCTGTTGAGAAGCTTGGTGCTCTTGAGATGTATTTGGCAACAATTCCCATAATACCCACCATGCCAACTGGGGATGGTGGACATCTCCAAAAGTTAGCTTCAAAACAAGAACATCTGATCATGTGAAAAAAACCACTGATGTACTTACATAGCAAGAAGTAAGAAGACTCATGTGGAGCATGTACAGAGTGCCTTTCCTTAGTAAAGATGCATTTTATTTGTTTGTTTGTTTGTTTGTTTGTCTTATTTATAGGTTGTCTTTCTCCTCTAAGGGAACTTGCCACACTCGTGCCAATGGCTTCAGATTTTTAAAAATATTTCGTGACTCTTAATTTATTTAATCTATATCTGATATTCACTATAGGAAGACTGTCTCCCTTGAAATCATCCAGTTGCTTTTACAGTCCAGATTGGTGTTCTTGTCCCGAAAGATCTGACATTGTGTAAAAGAAATTGGACCCTATCAGTGGACCCTCCTTCTAGCCTGTTGAGAAGCTTGGTGCTCTTGAGATGTATTTGGCAACAATTCCCATAATACCCACCATGCCAACTGGGGATGGTGGACATCATAGTCCAGCACATTAGGGGAAGACATCAGAGAGGGAGAAATGACGGTCGCTTTGTGCTGTGTTTGTTGACATAGCCAGCTATATGGTAGAAGCACAGAGGATCACCTTTATGGTGCAGTCTGTGTCAAAGCTGTTTAATAGGGCGCCAAATAGGTTAGCTAAAGGGGTGTCGTAAAGGATTGCAGGGGCTGCTGATAACGCAGAATGCCCTTGGCTTGGAGCCAGATGGTCAGAGATCACAAGGCATATCATAGAGTTAAAACGTTGTTATCTAAATCCTGTTAGAAGCCATATTAATTCCCTAGGACTTTGAGCAGTAAGAGTTTACAGATAGTTAACACAGTAGTTTACATACGTAAGTGACTTCCCTTCCCTTTTGCATGTGCGTGCCATGGACCCTCCTTCTTGCCAGTTGAGAAGCTTGAGATGTATTTGGCATCTTGAGATGTATTTGGCAACAATTCCCATAATACCTACCATGCCAACTGGGGATGGTGGACATCACAGTCCAGCACATTAGGGCCAGACACCAGAGAGGGAGAAATGACAGTAGCTTTGTGCTCTGTTTGTTGACATAGCCAGCTATATGGTAGAAGCATAGAGGATCACCTTTATGGTGCAGTCTGTGTCAAAGCTGTTTAATAGGGCGCCAAATGGGTTAGCTAAAGGGGTGTCGTAAAGGATTGCAGGGGCTGCTGATAATGCAGAATGCCCTTGGCTTGGAGCCAGATGGTCAGAGATCACAAGGTATATCACAGAGTTAAAACGTTATCTAAATCCTGTTAGAAACCATATTAATTCCCTAGGACTTTGAGCAGTAAGAGTTTACAGATAGTTAACACAGTAGTTTACATACGTAAGTGACTTCCCTTCCCTTTTGCATGTGCGTGCCAAGTGAAAACCATTTTCTCAGATCTCTGCCACAACTTAATTCTTTTTTCTGAACATACTGTCGCTTCGTGTTGGGCAACATGTCGCACAGCCTTACAATGAAGAAGAAAAAATTTCTCTTCACATCCGAGTCTGTTGCTGAAGGGCATTCAGGTGAGTAAATGCAGATGTTCCCTTCAGAGCTCAGAAGGGTGCGAAACAGATTTTAATCGCCTCTCTCAGGCCTTGAGTTTCCCGAGGAAAGGAACCGAGTGGACCTCTGATGGTGAAGAGGTTAGCTTGTGCTCCATTCCCTCAGAATGGTTCAGAGGGTGTCACATGGTGGGTCAGCGCTTGTCCCATTTTCTCCCTGACAGGTACAGCTTTGCCCTTGAACTCTTTCGCAAAACGTTCGTTCGGATGAAGTACAGGAGAGACTGGAGGGTGCTTTTGGAAATGGAAATGTAATATCTCCGATATTTCGTGCTGAAAACCAGCTCATGTCCAAACCTCTCAGATTTCCAGCACGTTGATTTCTTGACCTAACTTCCTCCTAGTATACTTATTTATTTATTTATGTATTTATTTTATTTATACCCCGCCTATCTTCTGAAGATGCTTCATGTCTACATTTTTTGGGGGGGGCAGCAGGATGACAGTGCCTGCCAATCTGTCTCTTCCATCCTCTTGGTGTCTGTGAACAGAGAGGGTTTGTACAGGTTCTTCCCGTCCTACTAAAAAATAATAATACCCAGAGCAGCTGATAGGGAGCTACAACCCAGAGAGCCTGTAGTTTGACTCTTACCTTTGCTATTAGCTCTCTAGGTGGACTTAAGTGCAGGGCTAGCCCTACTCTTAGGCAGAGATGGCTTTCAGAGGCAATAAATTGTGTTCCCCTGTTCTTCCTGTGCCCCCTTTCCAGGGTTTTCCAGCTAGAGAGAAGTGCCCTTCTTCTGGGGAGGGGGGGTATCTTGGGACTGTGCAGCTTGCCCACAGCTATATAGGCTGGCTCTACTTGCATGAGGCACAGTGCGGAGGACTCCAACTCCCCACCTCTGGCTTCTCAGCTAGATACTGAAACAATTGCACTATTCCCCTATAAATAACATAAACAATTAAATAAAAAATAAATGAAATAGTCATTTTCTTCTCTTTGAGGCCGGTGGGTATCTTGGGACTGTGCAGCTTGCCCACAGCTATATAGGCTGGCTCTACTTGCATGAGGCACAGTGCGGAGGACTCCAACTCCCAACCTCTGGCTTCTCAGCTAGATACTGAAACAATTGCACTATTCCCCTATAAATAACATAAACAATTAAATAAAAAATAAATGAAATAGTCATTTTCTTCTCTTTGAGGCCAAAGTTATGTATTCCATGCAGGCTGTCCTACACCCACCTAAACTAGTCCACTGGGATCAGATGTGAGGGGAAAGCCCTCTCTCATTGACAGCATTGAAGTAAGTTGCAATACTAGCCCCCTTGAGTCTGGTACATAGAATGGATGTCATTTTATCCTTTGCCTCAGGTAGCAAAATTTCTTTGGCCAGCTTGCTTTCACGATGTATTTTTTTCTTCAGTCTGCAAAATAAGAATAATGCTTTACTTACAAAACTATAATGGAAATTAATTTATAATGTTATGTCAATTGCTCTGAACATTCAGTAAAGCTACAAAAATGCTAAACTTTATTATTAAACATCTGCATAGGTTTGCTGTCTTTCACACAGCCTCTAATTTTACCTGAGGTACTTACTGGCGTTGCTAGGGCAAGTCAGAACATGTCTATGCTGGTCAGGATGTGTAACTGTATTTTGTGTTTTTGGACCAGTCCTGTTAGAAAACAGAATATGAAAGCAAAACTTCACCTATACTTTGGCACCCTTGGGACCACCATTTATAATATTAATAAAAATATATTGTGCTATGGATTTACTTCCAGGCTGGGCAAAGCCATTGTGCTGTCTGGGGCAGATTCATTGGTGGTGTGCACTCCCCCCTCTATTGAGTTTTAAGTGCATAACACTTGAAGGCAGTCAAGTTATATTTTTTTTCAAAAGGAGGCAGAAAATCCTTCAGGCAATCCTCCCCTTCTGAAGTGGTAAAAATACAGTAATAACAAATAACGGAGAAATTGCAGAATCTGCAGTTTGAAGTAGCAGTTTTGCTAATGGGAGGTCTGATTCTGCTTTGAATTAACAAGTTACATTGAGGGCTTCCCCTAAAAGATGAGCCCATTAAATCAATCGCTGGAATGATGTGTTACCACTGCTCTAAATCCCATTGACTCCGTGCATCTCCCCACAAATTGGGACTACTAGCTGGAAACGGGTCAGGGTGAACTGAACTGCTACTTCATCCACCCCTTCTGTAAATCCCATTGATTCTGTGCTTCTACACAAATTGGGACTACTAGCTGGAAACAGGTCAGGGTGAACTGAACTGCTACTTCATCATCATGATGGCATAACAAATGTACATTTCAAAAGTAAAACAACAAGTGGCAACAACGTTGTTGCCATCATTTTTAAATCACTGTCACAACATAAGTAACTTTTTGTAGCTACTTTTAAATGTACTTTAAAGGGGACACTTTTAAGTGGTATTTTGACTGGAATTTCTTGAGATTTATGACAGACAGTTTGTTATAGTACATGTTTCTATTCCAAAAGGTTTTCTTTAAAACATAAGGAAGAAGTACAGTGTAGTACTGAGGCTGCCACACTGGGAATATGCGTTGCTGAGTACTGATTGCAATGGGGTACTAAGAGATTCAGATTAGAGATGGGCATGAACCACCAGTTCGACGTTCATGCCAAATGTTCAGTGCTTCACAGCCCCGCCTCCTCCAGCAGCTGCCCAGTCAAAAAACAGCACCCAGAGAGGGCGGGGCAGGGGAGCCAGGGAACCTGCCAAAGCAGCACCTCCCCTAAAAATGCTGATATGTTAATAATAAATAATTACATTGCAGGGTGGCCTAGTGAGTGAAGGAGCTCCTTTTAAAAAAAACAAAACACAACTTTCTAGGCTCTGCTGCTGAATGCCTGTGATAAGCTAGGTTGCCAAGAACCATCAGGTTGCCAAACACAGAGTGTGTGGGAGGAGGCAAAATATTATAGTTTTTTAGAGACAGATTTATTTTGGTGTAAGCTTTCCTGAATCAATATCTGCTTCTTCAGATACAAGGAACTCACGTGGATTTTGATCCGCAAAAGCTCCTACTGAAATAAATCTATTGTTTTTTTAAGTGCCACAATAGTTAGCCTGTGTCCCTTTATTTTTTTCAACACGGTGAGACAGATTTAACACAGTTGCCTCTTTGGAAGAAGCGCCTGCGGAGTTCAGCCACCAGATTGAGCTCCCTTTTATTCTTGATATAGTCAGATTTGTCCTGTGCAACCGAGAGAACTGTGTGAATTATGGCAAACCCGGTTGGTAATGCTTCCTTTTCCCTCCTTTCTTAGATAAAATGTGTGACCAGATCAGCGATGCCATTCTTGATGCTCACATTAAGGTTGATCCAGACGCCAAGGTTGCCTGTGGTATGTTTTATTTGTGGGAGAACAAAGGACGAAAGGCTCTTCCTTTGTGTTTTGTTAGGGGCACTGCAGGTGGTTGCATGTAGTAAGTGATAAAACTGCACCCAAGGCAGGGACTAATCAGATGATATAAAACAGGGCTGGGGAGACTGTAGTTCTTCAGATGTTTCTTTTCCTAGAACAACTCACATCAGGAGCATCCAGTGGTAGGGGGTGGTGAGTATTTTTTACCAAAGACATTCCGGGCGGGGGCAAAGGTTCTCCACCTCCAGCCTAAAAGTACAACCATGCATATACGTTCTGTGGTAGAGGAATGACAACTCTTTAATATATGGTAGTGTATAAGTTATTGTCTTGTTCTGCCTGCCTTTGCAGAATGTGTGGCCAAAACTGGGATGATCTTACTATGTGGTGAAATTACTTCCAAAGCTGTTGTGGATTACCAGAAGGTTGTGAGAGACACCATCAAGAAGATTGGTTATGATGACTCTTCCAAAGGTGGGTTGGATACTCACCTCTGGCCTTTAATAAACCAGCGACTTTAATGGGACATTAGAGGGAAAAGTCAATGTACAAACTCTATGCAAAGAAAAAGTAGGCGCTCTTCAGGACTACCATGTGGCACAACACATGAAACTACCCCTCTGAGAACCTATTTAGTTCACAAGTATTCTTTGTTGTTGTTTATTCGTTAAGTCGTGTCCGAGTCTTCGTGACCCCGTGGACCAAAGCACGCCAGGCCCTCCTGTTTTCCACCAAGTATTCCACCAGTGCTATAATATGTAGTCTTTTGTTTACTTGCAGATGCAGATGAGATCGTAGTTGTGCTGAGTAGGGGCAGGCTGGTTGAAGCTGGAGTCCATACAACATTTATTAACCCATCTGTAAATGATGTGCTCTGAAATTTGGATTTTGGGACAGTTCCTTTTCTGATTGGTAGTCCAGGCATGAGATAAGGAGCATTGCCTCCTGGGATTCCTCAGCATATCCATGTATCACTCTGTTCCTAATGCATTTATTTGTTGCTCTGTGTGTTTGTGGAGATCGGTAGGCCAGGGCCAGAGTCCTTATGTAGCAGTGGTGCTACCAGGAGTGGCCCTCATGGCAGACACACAAGCCAGTCCTGTGGCACAGATGCCTGCATGAACTGCAGAGAACAGCAGCACTTCGGCTAATCTCATTACAAGTATGTTCAGCGATATGGCTGTTCCCACATCATTTACATGCCCCACCTGAGATCCGCTTCTGCCTTAGACTTTCCTGCTTTCCAATTTCACAAATGACAATAGTAACAAATGCAGAGGGTGCAATGATCTGAAATGATGCCATCCAAAAACAGGTTTATTGCTTGGTCTGCTCTTTCTGTAGGTCAGTTCTCTGCTGAGTTCAGGGTGCACTTCTACATCCTCTAAGCCCCACTGAACGTAATGGGACTTTTTTTTTCTGAGGGGAGAGGTATGTCCTGAACAACTCATTCCATAAATGTTGATTGGACTTTGACACACACATAGAGTACTGCCAACATTGACTGATATATAATCATTTTCCTGTTATTGTGATCTCCTGTCAACTTCACAGGGTTAGATTACAAGACTTGCACTGTGTTGGTAGCCCTGGAACAACAGTGCCTTGAAATCAAAGAGGCTGTTTCCTCTGGGGAAAATGCTGATGAGATTGGAGCTGGAGACCAGGTAAAAGGGGTTTTGCCCCTTCCTCTCCTTCCATATGCACTGAATAGCCTATATAAAATAGTCTGTATTTTCTAGGTAAAGAAAGTCAATGAAAAGAATGCAGTATTGGGTAAAGGGGCCGTATGAATGGGATGGATTTTGTAGGGAGGTTAACAGTGTTAGAGTAGATGTTCTGTGTGTGTGTGTGTGGGGGGGGAGACAGAAACTAGGGAGGTTAACAGTGTTAGAGTAGCTGTTCTGGGGAGTGGGGGGAGAGACAGAAAGCAGTCTTGACACTGTTAGTAAACACAGTGTGGTATCATAGCTTCAGGGTTTGTCCTCACTTCTGCCTTTCCGTGCTTTAATTTTCTGCTTACCTGTTGTTTTGCAAATATTTAGTAGCAAGTAAAACATGGCAAATAGGACTGTCCCTGCCATTTCTTATTTGGTCCCTAGAGTTTTCCCAATTTGGAAGATAAAAGAAGGGAACCTCTAGCCTATGTGCATCATTGACCCCAGACATGCCCCAAATCTAGCCCATGGAGGATCCAGAGGAGGCTGCACAGATCCCAAACTTCCTTCACTCAAGAAGGCGAGTGGGATAAGTGCAAGGTCTAAGAGAGAGTATAAATAAAAAGAATAATATGGGAAGGGGGTGAAGGAAGTGAGGGACGTGGTACTATAAAGGACGCTTGAGAGGGTCCTTCATCCATTGGAGATTCAGGGGTGAATGAAGAGGTTTTCCTCAGCTTGACCTTTTTAGACGCCTAGATTTTTGCCACTTGAGAACTTTTTTTTGTCTCTTAAAAATGCATGGATCTCAACATGGACTGTAGTTGTAATTCTCATGTACTAAAAATCTGTCATATTGTAATATGATTATAATGTGATTTTAGCATCCGTTAACTACTCTACCTCTTACCAGAATGTTTATATTACAACACTTTGAAAAGTCAGTCATTACCAGTGTTAATATTGCAGTTATCATCTCCTGTATCCCATTTCACTCTGATTTCTCCCTCCCCCGTATATTGTGTATATAAATCTAAAACCTAGGTATTGTACTCCATGTGAATGAGAAAATGGGTTGCTATCCGGGAAGTTTACATTGAATAGATCTGTAGATCTTAAAGGTGTGACAAAACTATTAATTAGGACAGAGATTTTAATATTTTTAAGGAAATAAAATATTGCCCATGCTTCAGTGGTGTCAGCTGGAATTCTTCAGAGTTGGGGGGGGGCTATGCTACATAGTGGTAGATTAGCATAATTCTTGTGCCAAATTGCATCTATATGTGATTGTGACAATAAAAAAGACATTTAAGTACAGTCATGCCCCGCTTAACAATTACCCCATATAACGACGAATCTGCTTCACGATGATGTTTTTGCGATGATGCAAGATGCTGCCATCTGGTGGCTTCTAGTTGTCATTACTAGGCATTAACAGCCTTGAGAAATGCTGGTAGTAAAAGGATTAGTTCAAAGGGAGGGTAAAGAGAAGTAAAATCTTTTGCAGATGCACTGCCAATTTTCTCATGTCCATATACCCTTAACTGAAGTTAATAATATCATAAATAGCTTGTAGATGATGTTCTTTTTAGTGTAATAAACATTGAATGCGGTTAGAGAAAAGCCAATAAACACTGACATTTCTATGCAGGGCTTGATGTTTGGCTATGCCACCGATGAAACCGATGAGTGCATGCCCTTAACTATCCTTCTTGCACACAAACTTAATGCAAAGATTAAATCTCTGGAGAGGAATGGAACTTTGCCCTGGATTAGACCAGATGGGAAAACACAGGTTGGTACAGAGTCACCATTGTCAAATTGTCCAGTTGTGTGTATGGTGTGTGTTTTGTGAGAAGCCATGTTTTAAGAAGGCCTTATGTTTGCTTTGGATAATTAAGAGCCACACGGCAGGCATTTTTAAACTGGCTGATGAACCTGAAGCAAATCAGTGCACTTTATTGCAAATAAATTGGAAACTGAATCTGGGTTTTCCATTTCCATACTTCCCACTTTCCCACACGGTGAAACATCCATGGCCAGTGTTACGTCCCAAATTTTCTTTAGTTGGAGACAGCTTCAAGCATATACTGTGAAGCTTTTGAACTTTCTGTTTATACCAGCAGAGCACTGTGGAAGGAACCCAGACTTCTCCAAAAAGTAGTTCGCCTGTCTACATCTACACTAGATTCCTAAAGCGCAAAATCCCTGTGATATCCCTTAGGTCCTTTCTGTCCAGCTCAACTCTCAGCAGTCTGTAGTAGGGGCTAGGACCAATTGTGGGTTTTAATTCTGCTCATGGTCTTCTGCTTTCTATTAGCAATCTGTCACTCTTGTCTATTTAGTGGAACTGGTTTTTCCTCTCCCATGTATACCTACTGTGGATGTCACTTAGCTCTTAGCCCACATGAGAAAATATCTATCCACCATTCCTGACTATTAACAAGTGATCAACGGAGGGTTTCCAACCTGGTTTTGATACCCCAGAAGAGCTTCTTCTTTTCTTTTGGTAAATATTATGAGGAGTCCATGTATGCGCACTGGTTTATGTCTAACCTGCAATAAAATTAAAACGGCAGTAACAGGTATAACTGTGGGGAGTTGGTGGGACTGAGCTTGTAATTAAAATGTTTGGATTCAGGCTGGGAAAAACAGCAACTGATGTGGGTCAAGACTTTCTTTGCTTTTGCCATGCACAGAGTGGGCCTTTTTATCAACAGTTGCCTTTTCCTCATTGCTTGTGCAAGGGGTTTTCGCTGCCCGCCCCCCACTGCAAGCAGAAAGCCCTGTGGCTTTGAATGAGGCAGTCTCTGCCTTGTGTAACCTTAACGTCAGAGATTGCACAGAGGGCTACGTCTATGGAGACATCAAGCTTCAATATTCCCAACAAGATCCTGGCCATGTTTTGGTTTGTTGTTTTAACCCAAGGAATTAGACTTATTCAGTGCAACAGAATACAGTCCGGAATGAGGTGGGTGGGTGGGAGGTTGGGGGGTTATAGAGCTTAGTTTTCCAAAAGTTTAAACTTGATATCCTTTTGTCAATTTCTTAGGTGACCATGGAATACCAAGAGACTGGAGGAACACTGGATCCCATTCGGGTGCACACCTTAGTCATTTCTGTCCAACATGCTCCCACAGTGCCCTTGGAGCAAATGCAGAAAGAGCTGATGGAGAGGGTTGTGAAAGAAGTGATTCCAGCCAAATACTTGGATGAGAACACAATCTACCACCTTCTGCCAAGTAAAACATTTCTAGAAGGTGGTCCTAAGGTACAGTGGTTCCGAAGACCAGATTCATCTATTAGATATGAAGAATCCGTGGTGCTCCTGGCACTTGAAATCTGTGGAATTGAATTCCAAGTCCCAGAAGCTCCAGCCAGTGTACCCAGTGTAAAGGGATTATGGGACTGGTAGTCCAAGATATCTAGAGAGCCTCTATTTCTCCACCTCTGGTATATTTATATAATGTCCCCTAAAGCTGAGTGGATATGTTTTATTGGCCAGAGATAGATTATCATGTTTTTATCGTGGCCCTCGTCTTTCATCCTTTAGTGTACTCTTTAGGCATTACTCCTTCTGGTGTGCAGTGGGATGTGGTGGAGCTGCGGCCTAAACCGCAGAAGCCTTTGTGTGCTGCAGGGTCGGAAGACCAGCAGTCGTAAGATTGAATCCACGCGATGGAGTGAGCTCCCGTCGCTTTTTCCCAGCTCCTCGCCAATCTAGCAGTTTGAAAGCATGTAAATGCGAGTAGATAAATAGGTACCATCTCGGTGGGAAGGTAAACAGCGTTCTGTGTCTAAGTCGCACTGGCCATGTGACCACGGAAGATTGTCTTTGGACAAAACGCTGGCTCTATGGCTTGAAAACGGGGGTGAGCATCGGCCCCTAGAGTCGAACACGACTGGACTAAAATGTCAAGGCGAACCTTTACCTTTTGATCTGCAGCACTTTACAGAAAGGAATTGCTCTGCAGAAGTGCAAATAAACTAGGCCTGAAACCTTGAAGCCTTCCCCTAGAGAACTCAGTCTGAAACATATTGGGCTCCACTGAAAATGTTATCTTGTAAACCTCCCGATCTTTTTCCGTTCCTTTTTTCTCACGATGGGCACTTTCCCACTTCTTATGTTAAAAAACAACTTGTATCTGGAATCAGCATCTTGCCTGACTCAAGTGTGACTAAAAACTAAAGTCAAGCTAAACAAATAAATCTTCCTGTACAGAGAGTGCCATTAAAACTGGAAAGGAAGCCTGTCCTCACACGTCAATGATTTATGCGTGTGTCCATGAAGTCCCTCAGTACCCCATGATTCAGTCCTTCCTGTTCTCCTCTGCCTGGATCCCTCTCTGTCCTGCCACAGACCAGGAACAGATGTTAGAGGCAGCCACTAATTAAAATGAATGCATGTTAAGGGTGCGGAGATAACTGAGGCAATCTTTCTGCATTTGTGAAATTGAACTTTAAAGGGATCCCATACTTAAGTCCTGAAGAACAATCACTGAACAGAGCAAGCTAATCTGCTAATTCCGGAGGTGAAAGACTCTTGTGGTGTGACACGCAGAAGCTCACATCTGTTAAGAATTTCACTACTAGTTACTGGCTATCTTTAACATCTGTTTCTGGCCCTAAGAACCATGTGTTGCAACCATCTGCCCACCAGGTAGAAGATATTTCATGATACAGTGGAGTCATCTGCTCAAGAATGTGGGAGGAGGAGAATGGAATCTGGATTTCCTACTCTTCTCTTTCCAGTTATTTGTGCAAAACACACTTTTGTTCTCTCTTGTTACTGATGGAATAATTTCCCATTTTCAAAAACATCACAGTGGATGCAGGATTGCGGGTGCATATCTACATATACTGATATTTTCCCAACACTATGTTGTTTTTTTCTAGGATGAGGATCTGAGATACACAGTTGCAGGTTGATATATTTTAAAAAGCTAGGGAAATAGAAGACACATAACTGGGGAAATGAATGTAATTTTGCAATTTGATGCTGCAGAACTTGAGAGACACTGTTTTCCAGATACAGGATTACCGTAACATTTAGGTCTAGCCCCAGCTAGACCTTAATGAGTGGACTTTAATAAGAGCAGCAGGATATTAGTTAAATCTCCCAAGAATGGTTTAAAAGGTAAATTTTAATGTAGGACTGCTGAAACAATTACACCTTAAAAATTAACAGGCTTTATTTGGCATTTGTTTTAAACCAGGCTTGTCCAACCTGCGGCCCGTGGGCCACATGCGGCCCAGGTCAGCTCGTAATGTGGCCCAGTGCAATTTTTTATTTTTAAAGAAATTCGATGCAGGGTTGCGGGTGCATATCTACGTACGCTGATATTTTCCAACACAATGCTGTTTTTTTCTAGGATGAGGATCTGAGATACACAGTTGCAGGGTGATATATTTTAAAAAGCTAGGGAAATAGAAGATGCATAGCTGGGGAAATGAATGTGATTTTGCAATTTGATGTTCCAGAACTTGAGAGACTGTTTTCCAGATACAGGATTACTGTAACATTTAGGTGTAGCCCCAGCTGTGGACTTTAATGAGAGCAGCAGGATATTAGTTAAATCTCCAAAGAATGGTTTAAAAGGCAAATTTTAATGTAGGACTGCTGAAATAGTTACACATTTAAAATGAACAGGTTTTATTTGGCATTTTTGTGGATAACGTGGCACAAACCTCTGATGTTTTTTTATTACATTTGTGTTACCAAACTCTTTGTGAAATCTGGGCAGAGAACTCCTGATTGACCATTACTTCTTTAAAGTAATCTCTTATAAGAAAAATGCATTTTCCTTATATAATAAATGAAACTGCACTAATCTACTGCTTTCACAAATACACAGGCAACAGTCTCCGGAGAAGTTGAGCTTTCGAAATACAATTGCTGTGACTACACATGACCACCAGAAGGCACCTCTTTTACATCTTGTGCTAATGAATGCATACTAATTTTTTCTGCTAAGAGTCTGGAGGGATGGGTTATATAATCCTCATGAGAGAAAAGTAAACATTCTGAATTTTTAAAAGTCAAATAAATCGTATGTGTATTTTATTTTTCCAGAGCGATGCTGGCCTGACTGGCAGAAAGATCATTGTGGACACCTATGGAGGCTGGGGAGGCCATGGTGGGGGAGCTTTTTCAGGGAAAGATCCCTCAAAAGTGGATCGCTCTGCAGCATATGCGGCTCGCTGGGTAGCAAAATCCTTGGTGAAAGCAGGGCTCTGCCGAAGAGTTTTGGTCCAGGTAAGAAGGAGACGGTCCATCACCTTGGAAGAAGAAGCAGAACAGTTGCCCAACAGATGTGATTCCCAATGTGTTTTGAGGAATTTCTTTACCAAAGGAAATGATAAACGTGTCCTGATTTTCTTTTTAAATAACTCATACAGTGTCTCACTACAGCTCACCTAAGCAAACAAATGGCTGTTTTTGACAGGGCCTATTGTCAGGCAGAGTGAGGCAGCCACACCTTGGCCAGGAGATTTTGGCTGTCATGAAAAAGGATCCGGACTCTTATTTAATCTTTTGTCTAGTACTAGACTTAGGGAGAAATGCTGATGGGGTTTTGTGCCTCAGGTGGTAAAATAAGTAGAACTGGCTTTGGATATTGTTCATCTTTCTTTGTTGCTCTGCCTCAGTCATAAAAATGATTTGGGCCAGACCTGGTTATTCATTTTCTCTGTAACCAGTATTATCCAGAGCAGGAAAGAACTTTGCCCCTGAAGAAGGCCACAGCTGAAACGCATTGAGCCTGAGCTTTTTAGATAAGAATAAAGTCTGCATTGTCAATATTTTTATACATCTTGAGACTTAGTCTCCTATTTGTACATTTTCCACCAGTGGATGTACCAGTTCCCTATGCTTTGTTATAAAAATGACTTGGGCCAGACCTGGTTATTGATCCTTTCTGTAACCAGTATTACCCAGAGCAGGAAAGAATTATGTTTTGGGACTACAACAATCTCTGGCTCTAGAATAATAATAATAATCTTAGAACTGCAGAGCTGGAAGGAACCCTACGGATCATCAAGTCCAGCCCCCGTCAATGAGGCACAGTGGGGAATGGAACATCCAACCTAGCTCAGCCTAAACCACTGAGCTATCCAGCAGTTCTGCTGTACTTGTTTGGTGCTGAATTGTTTCAACAGAAATTGAAGCCAAGTTCAATTCCTCACTGATACACTGACTTGAAAGAAATTGTGTGATGCCCAGGCCTCTGTAAGGAGCCCTTAGCACTCGGTCAGAGAGTTCAACAGGCCACTTACCTTACCACCTTTGCACTGAGGCAAGTCCCAAGACCTCAGCAGTGCATAGCATAATCCCCTTGAAAAGCACTACTATGCTGGGCTAAAGTGAGCTAGACCCACCTCCTTCTTTCTCTTCATTTACATTCTTTCTCCTTCAAGCCACATACTCAAACCATCAGGTTCTTTTTCTCTCCCATCAGCATGGAATTGAACTTCTCCCACATAACCCATCGTCCATTTTCTACATTCTCTAACTCCTCCATTGTTCTTGACACTTCATGGCTGTTAATCAATTAGCCTCAAAGAGCTGTAACACCTTTCTCCTCCCTCAATTCCCATGAAGATCCAGGGGTTTTATCTCTTCTCCAATTAGCTCAGAATGTTGAGTCTTTCACAGGCTCCTTGGTCCAACCTTCAGCTTTATCTCGAACCACGCTGTACCGGTCTTCAGAAAAAACATTCTCATAGCACTTAGAAAAACACATTCCAATGTCTCTCAAATCATCTTCACACAGAACCTGACTCCATCTTACATTTTTCTGACTACATATCCCACACTGCTTCAACTCCATGACAAATGGGAATCCCAAACTGTAGAACCTATTTCTCCTACCTTCCCCCACAAACATTGCTGGACTTCAACTGTCATCAGCCTTTGCCAATGGGTAGCCATGATCAAATTGTAGTTCAGTAACATCTGAAGGGCCACACGTTCCCCATCCCTGCTGTAGATGTGTCTGCTCATGTTATATCAAGTCCTTTTCATCAATGCTGAATTTGTATATCCCTTAGCTGTCTTATGCTATTGGACTGAGTCAGCCGCTAGCCATCTCAGTCTTCCATTATGGTACCTCAGACAGATCAGAAGATGAGCTGCTCGAGATCATTCAGAAGAACTTTGACCTTCGCCTTGGGCCTATCATAAGGTTGGTTTTTCCTGAAGATATTGTTATGCCTTTGGGGAACATTACAGGGGCAGGCACTGCAATACTAGTGAGAAGACCTTAGGTTGAAGACCTAGGAGACAGGGCAATCAGCCGTATGTTTATTCCTCCCCAGTCCGCGGTCATTCATCTCTCTGTCACACAATGTGCCTGACATCCTTTAATCTAGCATATTGTACTCAAATGCAATGGAGAACTGTGTCAATGATGGCCTGCCAGCACTGAAGTATAAAGTAATTCAACTCCCAGTTCAGCGCCTTTCTGTACACTGTATGGAGGGTTGCCATTTTGTCCTTTGGTTCAGGCTGCAACGCATCTTCAGCCTGTCCTGAGCATCACCCATGTGCCATCCTCAAGTACAGCATGAGTAATCCTCTAATACAGTGGTCCTCAACCTTGGGCCTCCAGATGTTCTTGGACTTCAACTCCCAGAAATCCTGGCCAGCAGAGGTGTTGGTGAAGGCTTCTGGGAGTTGTAGTCCAAGAACATCTGGAGACCCAAGGTTGAGAACCACTGCATATGAACATAGCTGGATGGGCTCAGCTATCTTCCCTGAGATTGTGGGATTCGAAGAACTCCAAAGCTATTGAGGGAAATCTCCAGAAGCACAATGTCTCTTCCTGTGACAGGTCATTGGGACAGCATGTCCTGAAATGTTGGGGCAACAGTCACCTCCCCTGTCCATTCTGTGGAAGTGACCAGAAGGGAATTCCTTTACACTTGGTCCACATTTCCAGATGGATATTCATAAAGGGGGATATTTTCTCTCTTGAAGAAATGGAACTATAGGAAGGCAAAGTGAAGATCAAAAGTCTTAATTTTCCATCCTGGTTGATTGAAGATGGAGGGAGGAGGGTGAGAGGGACCCATGAAATAAATGTGGAACCGGTACGATGTCTTGAGTTGTACCACTGTCCCCGCAGAAGCAAAGAAAATGAGTACAGTACTTAAGTGAAAATAGTCCTGAAAGTAATTGAATTCTAGACCATTTTGTTCCTTGAGGTGTTTGGGGATTATGTGATTGAATCAGCCTTAATATGAGTCTGCTGCTTTAGTTCCTGTATTTATTGTAAACTGGGTTTTCAACATTGTGATGTTGGCTCTAATGGTTGTAGTCCAGAAAGTTGGTTACAACTGGAGAAGTTTTCACACACACAGAGCTGTTGGCTGAAATTCCGTATTAAGCATACTAAGTCTCAATTAGATCAGGCCCATTGAATGAGTGTAAACTACAGAGGAGTTGACTCATCAAATCTGCACTGATTCAGTGGGCCTACTCTAGTTGCAACTTGTTATAGGATTCCGGCCACTGAGGGTTCACCATTAGCTACTTTTTCATAGAAGCAGGGAAATGCTCTTCTTTGGGTGTTGCAAATTTCAGCAGTTGAAAATGGCTCTTAAAGCCACATCTGTTTCCTGCAGGGAAATGCTCTTCTTTGGGTGTTGCAGCATTTCAGCAGTTGAAAATGGCTCTTAAAGCCACATCTGTTTCCTGTAGCTTACAGTATTTGAGTGTCTGTTTAGCATCCTGTGTGTGCTACCTATCTGCAAAAATACGTGAATAATGGCTGATCCAGGCAATATTAGACCACTATTCTCATACAAAGTGGGGTATAGACTTAGTTTAAGGCATGTATGGGGGAGGGGGGCAGTGATATTTTTTTTTACTTTTTGTCCAGACAGGGTGGGGGCCATGTGGCCTGTAGGTGTTCCAGTCCTGCAACTCCCTCCAGCCCTCAACAGTTTGACCAGTGGTGAAGATTGCTGGGAGTACGAATCTACAACATCTAAAGCAGTGGTTCCCAACCTCGGGTCCATAACTGTTCTTGGACTACAACTCCCAAAAATCCTGGCCAGCACAGCTAGTAGTGAAGGTTTCGAGTAATTTTAGTCCAAGAACATCTGGGGGACCAAGATTGGGAACCACTGCTCTAGAGGGCCACACATTTCCCACCTCCGCCTAGTCTACTACTCTTTCCATATCTCTCCATTCCCAGCTCTCATACCAGAAGGAAGCAAGCAACACATTAGATTGAATGGGGCAATAGACTGAGCAAGGAGGATTTAGGATTTAATACTTTCCCCCCCATTAACCCCTTAGGCACATTTTAAAAATGCATGCCAATAGGACATGCAAAAAAAGAAACATGTGACAATTACATGTTGTTGCGCTTTTAGAGAAATGAAAATTTAAAATATTTAGAGATAGGTGGGGCTTAGGCATACTTTTTACGGGGATCGTATTCCTGTCATTCTGACTTCATAAAGTCAGAGGAGGAGTTAGGCTGCAACTACACTGGCAATTGGACACACAGTGATCATACTGGGGTGCAGATTGGTTTGGGAGCTCAGTGTTCGCACTCAATGCGATGCGATTCACAGTTCAGGTCACAGCCCCCCTTGTTTCTTTCCTTCCTCTGATCATGCCAAACCTTTTATAATTTGCTGTGAAGCTGGTTGGTTTTAAAAAGGTTGTACAGTACTCCGGAAGAGGTGGTAGTTCTTCTTATTGTGTAGAGAAATGCCACATATCACAGGAACATCTTTTATTTCATCTGGGGTGTTTCTGTTTGGTTTGCAAAAAAATTTTTAAAAAATTATTTTCTGGAGGTCTTCTAGCGCTATACTAGTATATCAGTACTAGTGATAAGGTGATCTAGTGCTAATCTCATATATTTAAATAGATAAACAAAAGTTTATTGGGGGACGATCTGGGGAAATAATGCAGGGGTAGGTGTTTCTGTGGTCCTGAACATCATGCGCCTACTGTATACATCACTGAAACACCATCCACAGACATGACTCCCCCCATCTTTACAAGAACAAATTGATTGATTGATCACACTGGGAAAACCCTGACTGAATTGTTCCATCTTGAAAAAGTAGAAGCCCCCATGGTGGGGGAGGGAGCCATGCTGGAAGCAAAAAAGGCTGGACCAATTTGAGTCAGCCTTCACATCATGTGATCAGTAAAAAAAATAATACAAATTCATCTGTTTTATAAGTGGAGCAAATTGTAGATAAACAAAAGTTTATTGGGGGAAGATCTGGGAAAATAATGCAGGGGTAGGCGTTTCTGTGGTCCTAAACACATGCGCCTACTGTGTACATCACTGAAACACCATCCACAGACATGACCCTCCCCATCTTTAGAAGAACAAATTGATTGATCACATGGGAAAAACCTGATTGAATTGTTCCATCTTGAAAAAGTAGAAGCCCCCATGGTGGTGGTGAGCCATGCTGGAAGCAAAAAAGGCTGGACCAATTTGAGTCAGCCTTCACATCATGTGATCAGGAAAAAAATAATACAAACTCATCTGTTTTATAAGTGGAGCAAATTGTGCAATATTTGGCCATGCAGTCACAGCCTTAGAAGAGGACAACACCTACTCTATGTTCAACACTAAGCTGCAACAGGACTATATAAACATTAAGGATGGAACTTTCAGGTTAGGATGAATGAAAGACACGGAAGAGGCATTTCCTTTCATTTTCATCATCTTCCGTCGTTTTCCAGGAGAGTGCCTTGGAAATGCTAATGATTAATTTGATGAATGAGGGACACAAAATGCCTCTGCACCTCAGGAGGCCTTACTGAGAAGTCCAATTAGAGAACTCCTTACAGGTGCCTTGTAAAACTGTGTGAGATAAATGTGTTTCTCTTTGCTTTTAGGGATCTGAATTTGAAAAGACCCATTTATCAACAGACAGCATGCTATGGACATTTTGGAAGAGAAGAGTTTACATGGGAACAACCTAAGAAGCTAATTTATTAGCACTGGGTTTTTTTGGCAATTGGATGCCAGTCGGATCTAAATAGCGGGAAGAGCAAATTGGGAAGCTACTTCAAGTTGTTCAGTTTAAAAGCTCAGAATACCTTAAATGTTTGCAAGTTTTAAAGAGTCTTGGTGCTCAGCTCCGTTTTTGTTTTTAAATGGTGACAACTTTAAATTAAAATTGTGTGTGTGTGTGTGTGTGTGTGTGTGTGTGTGTGTGTGTATGTGTATGTGTATGTCCCTGCACAAGCAACTGTGTTTGCCTGTGTACACAAAAGGAAAGCAATGAGGATGTGACAGTGCATATCCATGGGTAACAAAACAGGGTTAAAATGCAATATATTTTCACAGGAAAGCCTCATAAGAATTTGGATAGGACTCATCTGTGGGAATGGGAAAGAGGGAGGAAGGGAAGAAGGGTACAGACATTTATATGAATGTTAAGTTGTGTAGGTTTCCTGTTAAGTTGTTAGGCTTATTAAACATTTTTATTTAAAAAAAAAAACAAGGAGCAGCCCTTACATAATGTGGGAAATGGGCTGTGGCAGCTGGCAGCACGTAAACTCCCAGTCCCTCTCTGCATCATTCAGTAGTTGGTGTGTACTGTGGCCACACCTTCCCACAGACAACACCAAAAATGATCCCCTTCTGACTGTGTGGGGAAGGCCTCTGTTCATGTAGGCAGCTCCCCACTTCATGGGGAAACAGACCCCATGACATTTTTCTCCTGGAAAAGACTGGAGGGAAATGTGTCCAGCATAGGTGGTGGTGGGAATGACAATCATCCGACAATCCTACTGTTGCAGTGTTTTGAATTTTTGGTTAAATTCCTTTAGCTTTTCAGCAGAAGTACAGGAATTTACAGAGCAGAATAGCTTCAAGTTCCCCAGAGCCATCCCTTTCTCATGAACTGGCACTTACAATCTCAGTAGCTCACTCTTGAGGCATTGACAGTAGAGAGAATAAAAACTAATTTCTTTACTTACAGTTGTGAACAACTCAAACAGCAAACTAATAAACAAGAGACTGATTACTTGAACAGACTAACAGACCCTAGAGAGGGAAAGAGACACAGAGCAGAGAGGCAGGGCTCTCTGAATTCAGAGGCTGGAAAGGAACAATTGGCTACGGCTGGATAGATTGACAGTCACCTCAGCCCAGAAAGATCCCTCCCAGCCAAACCCACTGCAGGCAGCATGCAAGGTTGAAAAATTATTACACCTACCATGTTCTTTCAACAGGTAGGGCAGGGGCTCAAACATGCGGCCCGGGAGCCATTTGCAGCCGCTGGATGATAGTTTGTGGCCCCCGCCTTGCCTGCCCCCCCAAAGCACCCACACAGCCTCTGCTGTCAAGAGTCCAAAAAAAAGCCTCACCTCGCGCGCCAGCTCTGCCCCAAGAGAGCGCCACTTGCACCCCCATCTGGAACTGCAGCCTGCCAGTGAGCCCATCTGTCTGCCAGCTGGCAGGCTGCAGTTCCGGATGGAGCGTGCAAGAGGCGCTGTCTTGGGGGAGAGCTGGCGAGTGAGGCGCACTGCCATCCCTTTTCCCCGAGTGCCCGAGCCGCCACTGAGCAGAGCTCACTCCCGGCCCATCCTCGAAGAATGCCTCCAAGCTGCCAACAGCAACTGCCGCCGCTGCCTCTTCCAGGGAAGCGGCTCTCTTTCTCTCTCAGCACCCCCAGCACCAGACCAGCCAGCGGCCGCCTCAGCACCGCTTGCCTCGCAAAGTTTGCTCCTCTGTCATGGTGGGGGTAGCTGCTGCTGCTGAGTGTGCCCTTTTTTAAAAGGGGGGCCCTCAGAGGAAGGTTGCTGGACCTCTGTGTGTGTGTGTTTGTGTGCGTGTGTGTGCACCTCTGGGGGCCCTGCCCCATTCTGTTTAATTTCGTGGGTACCGGTGGAGGCTTATTCTCCTTTGGCAAGGCAAATTCTGTGAGGGTTTTTTTAAATGTTATGTCGTGCCCTCCCCCCCCCCCCCCCGCGCCGGGGTGGGGTTGTGGACCC